AACCTTCTGTGCATGGTAAAAAGATTAGAAGAAAGGTCTAGTACAATGTGATAGTGTGCAGATTTCATAATGCAAGTAAACAGGCACCACTCATTCAAGCATATATGTATATAAACAGTCAAGGACACACTCACCAGATGCCCTCATAAACATTTAATACTGCAAGGCATAATTTGCATAATTTGCATACAAAATTAACAAACTCCACCACCTTAGGATTCTGTTGCTTTTGTTTGCTGTGATGTCTTTTGTTACTTCGGTCTTTTTGATAAAAACATTGTTGTGCCAAATATTTGATTTTTAAGTTGAAAAGCAGTTTGATATTCCCCATGTGCCATAAGTATAAATGAATAAGAGCATCTGTGCATGAAATGGATTAAGCCATTTGAATATAAATCTAGTTTCCATGTTGTTATTCTGTTCCAACACGCTCCAGACACAGGAAAGTCCTCAACAAAGGCCTGAGTCGCTGATAGATTTATTCATGAGACGCTCATCTTAATGCTGGGATAATAATCTGAATGCCTTTGATGTGTGCTTTTTAGCATTTGCATTTGTGCATCCTAGAAAATATTATCTGTAAATCAAGATTTCGTATTGGCACAAATGATGCTTTATTTGCTCAGGACCAGCTGTTTGGGGAAGCAGTAACATGCTGTTTTGATGCGGGTCAGAGACTGTGACCTCTTATTATCTACTCAACACAGTCAAAACACTGTTCTCAATTCATAATTTACGCTCCATTTATGTTTTGTCTTTCCAAATCATTTATCAGCAGTCTAGTTCAGAATTGCAGCAGTAGAGCAGATATTAAGGTGATTGATGGACTCATTTCATAACGGCTGGTTTTATGTTTAGTTTGGCAATTTCTGGGTTGAGACAATCAGAAAATGCTTTTAGTGTTTGTTCACTAAAAAAACATTGAAAAAACACACAATAGCAGTATGTTTCCTCCTAATAAGTTTTATTTTCCCCTTTGTTAGTACATTTTGTGATTTTGTCCTGTAATGTGTTTATGTGCTTTTGTGATTGTGTTGCATTTAAGTATTGAATTTTAATTCTTGGACATGATTTAACCAAATTCATCAGTTTGCATGCATTGTGTGGCCTCTACATGTTCCCTGAAAGACTCAAACTCTGGCTTTGTGGTTCCCGGGAAGGATGGAGTTAACCCATCTATCCACTTTCCAGTCTCAAATTATTCAGTTCTCAACAGTGTGCTCATGCATGACATGCAGTCATAGTGTTCTTCAGAGAAGTGACATTCCACCTCTATTTAAAAACACCAGATGCCTGTCAGTCTCTCGTTTCTTGCCATCCACCCTCTCCTGTATGTAGGCACACTTATGCATTTATTAAAGCACAGTGAAGCCTGCTGACTCTTTCCACTGACGACTTGATCACACGTTGAGCAGCAAGTGAACCAGCTGCTGACTCAACTGTGTACAAGTGAGGCTTTTTTGTCTCTGTTGATAGAGTGAATCAGTTTAGTAAAATGTAGCTTCGGCAGCGCAACACGTATGCACCGTGGTTAAAACAACAAGCTGTTATGCTGATTTCAAGAACTCATTTCAAACAGGGGCTTTATTTCATCTTAAAGTTAATTCACGTGGATGGTAGACAAAATAAAACACCTGACACAACAGCACAAAGTGTTTGCTGAGACTGAAGCTTTTCATAAACCTGATGGTCATTTTAAAAGGGGTATAGTGTTAAAGTTATGTGTATTCTTTAGGCCTAACAAACATTTGGAAAGCAGCGGCCTGTACTAATGAAATTCAAGTTGTTGTTAACCTGGTGTTAATTTAATTGGAGTTGTGCGCATAAAAGGGGTGTGTTCGGCCATGCAGACAGAGTTGTTTTGCAATGGCGAATGCTCCGTATTTTCCCCAGAAGAATGCTCGTTGATTGCGTCAGGATATAAGCAGTTTAAAGACACATTAACGGCCAAATCTAACACTGTGGTGGCTGACAAAGCCAGGGAGGCTTGTTGGTATTGCATTGAGTAAATTTGTAATTATCTTCAGTGTTCTTATTGTAGGCTAATTCTTTATTATGTATTTTATGGACTCTTGTTTTATATAGCCTATCATTATACCTACAGTATATCATAATATCATTAAGATGTAAAGGTACACCTGCACATTATCACCATTGTAATAAAGGAATTGGAGCCAGGGGAGAGGGGGAAAGAATTTCCAAGATTAATGTGGTAGATTTACGAGAAACTAATAATCACAATAATAATAAACTTGAATAGGCTATATTCTCTGACATTGTATTCATACATTTATGAGAGAAAATAGTGGGGGTTTTTTTTCAAGGAACCACATCGCTTTACTTTGCAAGGCTGAAACATCACACACACACCTCTGTGGAAAATTATATTAGACTTCAGGAATTTGCGTTTTTTGTTCTTGTAAATTTGCCACCTCCATTTTTTTTTCCCGGCTATTAACTCCCATACTGTCTCCGTATTTTTTGGACACGTAGTCAATCTAATTATGTAAAAATACTCAACAGATGGACTACATCTCAGAAACTGGCCCGTTATTTAATTAATATCTGCTCCCTAAAATCACAGAGGCTGCAGGGCTCGCTGTAAGAACGTAATGCTGTTGTGTTAAGAATAGGCTAACTTCATTTCAGCTCCAACTGCAGTGGAACAAATAGGATGAAATGTAAAAATATTTTATCAAGTGGTGTACTTTATTAGCCTACTTCTCATCATTAACACTGGGTACAGATGTGGTGTGTAGTCCACGTATACAAGGTAACCTCGAGTTAAACACCAACATAACCTTCTCGGAGCAGTTTAGAGATGCAGCGTAACTTGCCATGGCAACAGACTTTGTTTAACACCTATCCACCTTTCGTAGTACAGGTTAAACTGGAAGTTACACCCGACGTCACAAATTTACCTCCTGGAAATTACCTGGATAAGCTAGTTACGCTTTATAGTACAGCCCACGGGTCTTTTAAATTTTTGTATTTAGTATTTTAAGTCTAGCATTGTTTACATCCATGTTCACTAAAGGTTGGTGTATTTACCGCCACCTGTTGATCAGTAATATGGAGTAATATGGCAGAAGAAGGACTGTGTATTGCATCACTCGCGTGCATGTACGTGCAGTTTGCAACAAAATGGGAAACATTCTACACCCTGGACAGGTCGCCAGTCCGTCGTAGGGCCACACATAGACAAACAACCACTCACACTCACACCTAAGGACAATTTAGGGTCACCAATTAACCTAGCCTGCATGTCTTTGGATGGTGGGAGGAAGCCGGAACACCCGGAGAGAACCCACACAGACACGGGGAGAACATGCAAACTTCACACAGAAAGGCCGGGGCAACCGGGGTTTGAACCCCCGCAGGGAACCTTTAAATAAATATTATGTCATGCATTTTTAAGTCATCTTTATCTGTGACCATTCTTCCTACTTGATGTGACTTATCTTGCCGAAAAACTCATGTACACCCTTTGGTAATTGATTTCAAATTAATGTTACATGTGTTTGCTTTTGTAAATGTGGTTTATTGCTTTCTATTCTGGAATTGATGGTGCACGAGTCACCAATACAGTAAAAGTGAGTAATGCTGTGAGCAGGACAAATACATAATGACATATTCCAAACCCAGGAAAACAGTACAGGAAAAGAGGTATAGTGGTCACAAAAAAATGGTCCTTTTGCAACTCTGGGTTAACACATACAAACTACATCCTCAAAATTGACCACTGACTTGAATCAGCATTGGGGAGTCTCAACGGAAACTAATAAATGGTATTTTCTGTAGGGCTACACTGCACTTTAGCTTTCATGTAGTTGCTGTATTTCACAGTATTGTTCCCCATAAAAGTGAAAATATGGAGTTGCAAGATATATCAGAGGGGTCACAAGAACGAGATAAGAAAGATAAAAAAAATATATGTTTGCCTCTGAGGCTAATTTATGGCTTTGGCTTCCATAAATAAAATTGACCTGACTTGTTATTTTAAAGGAATATAGCAGATATGACCTATTTGGGCTTCTAATAATGGTATGTAGTGAAAGTATAAAGTTAACTTTGAAGGGAACCTGCCACTGTTCATTGTAGATAAAAAAAAATAGGTTTATACTGTACGATGTGTCATCCCACACTTCTAAGGAACCTCTACCAGAACCTATGGTGATAAATTAAGCAGTCATTTCCCTCTGTGATGACTAAACCATGTATACAGACCTGATGTAGCATCAATAAGAAGTGAGAAGATTTATTTTGACTAAAGCAAGAATGGTTATGTATAGGGCGGCATCACTGAGAGTGATGGTCTGCATTACTTTTAGTGGTTGAAGGGAAAGGCCAGTATCCTGAAGGTCACAGGTTTCACCCTGGCCACAGACAAGTGCCCCTAAGCAAACTTCACTTCCTCTAACACGCTATACCTCTTTGAATGTCACTTTGGATGATGAACTAATTGAAAGATTAAAAATATACCGTAAACATGACGGAGGAAACCGATGACAAAGAGAATAAAGGAACAAACTGAAGAGTTAAGTTGAAGAACATGAAATCACAAAGACGAGCGGAGATGACAGCGGCTGTGACAGCAGGTGGAGAAAATGAATCGAAGGGTGGAATTGATCTTGTTAACTTGAGGCAGTGGTGCAAGACCAATTGCATAAGGCACAGCCCAAAGCTGGGTCAGACAGGAAGGGAGAGAGGGAGAGAGGTATGCGAATGATGATGAACGATGTCTAAGGGTGAAATGCCAAATGACTTCATTAAATGCAAGATGACTTCAAAGTTGTGAGAAGTGTATCACTGCCAAAGAAAGGAATCTCAAAAATACAGAGGACATTATGAGAACATTAGAACGTGGACGTCTGGCAGACTAATACATGCAGTTGTGTAAATGAACATGAATAAGTGGACTGTATATGTTGTGCAACTTGGCAGCAGGAGAGGTGTGCTTTGTTCATAGATGCTGAGTTGATTTCCTGTTTGTCTTGCAGAAATCCGGGAGGCGTTTAAGGTACTGGATCGTGACGGAAATGGGTTCATTTCCAAACAGGAGCTGGGTATGGCTATGCGTTCTCTGGGTTACATGCCCAGTGAGGTGGAGCTGGCCATCATCATGCAGAGACTAGACATGGATGGTGAGTCACATGTACAAACACACACGCAAGTATAAAGATGTCCTGTGCGATGCAGATTGGGTTCCACATAAAAAAACACTGTTTCTCCATCATAAAAATGTAAACACCATGATGCGTATGGTCTCACAAGGCAACTTTGCAAACATTTACAATAAACAACAGTGTTTTTTTTTATGCACTCTTGCCTGTTCACATGCACAAATTACATATTCCTGTGTCATACATTCCATGAGTGTATACTCATTTCAGTCCTAACCACTCACCGTTTCTTCTTGACACATGAAAGCACCACAGTGAAACTGACCCCAGGAGATAACCACCCAAATAAAGAAATATGTGATTAATACAACGCATGCACACATGACATGGTGATAGTTATTGTAGAGTAAGTTGGTTTTCATATTGGTTGTCCAACTAGAACTAAACTAAACTGTACCAATGCTGTCACTGCAGCAGCCAAATCCATGCAGAAATGCATCACAAAACGGTGGTATAACATCCAGAATGCTCCTGTCTCTTGTTGTCAGAACAGTAAGATCTGAATCAGCTGCGGTTTATTTCGGCAGCACAAATCCTCACCTGTGACCTCTGAACACTTTTAGCAGCAAAAAAGCACAAACACAAGCAATTCTTGCACAGAGCATTTGTGCAGAGCCAGGTTTCAGGCAAAGCCGTCTGCATTAACTGTGATTGACATTTTGTTAAGGATAGACTCTTAAAATTGTATAAGGCGGGATGAGAAAATGCAATATGCAAATGTCAGTTCACTGGGTAAATATTCAAATTCTTCATGCTGCTATCACGGCCTTTGATAAGTGCTTTTCAGTTTCACTGTGGAGAGAGAAATACTATAAATGTTCAAGGCTGAATATTAAAGTTTAAAAAGTTAGATTGCCTTTATTCCTCTTCTGACTCATCTACTTCAGGATCTTAGGAGACCATAGCTGCTATTGTGCCCGAGGGCTGGGTCTTGTTGTATCGTCTGCTGCAACTGAAGAAGCAGAAGAGGCTACTTTTGTTGCTGATGAAGGTCACAGCAGCTTTTGTCTCAGGAAGTCTGTGAAGTGTAATGCTGTTTATTTATTTATTCACTTGGATGTCATTGTTCATTCTGTCTCTGTGTACTGAATCTAAGTTTGTTGTTGTTGTTTGGAAAACCTCTTTTCCATTAAATGACTCAGGTCAATTTGTTTGTACTGGTTGATGTCATTAGCCAATTACTGGATTTTCTTTACTTAGACATTACTGAATCAGAGGACTGGCTGCCTGCCTTGCAAGGCCTTTGTCGAACTTCTATTTTATAAAAACAGTTCACTCAAATATGATCCAGTAGGTTTAGACAGACAAATGCAGAAAGACCTGAGCACTCACTTCATCTCTAGAGAGGCTGTATGGTGCAAAGATTGTCTGATTTACATGATAGGGAATAAAAAGTGACAGAACTAACAAACTGTGAATCACTAAACTGTGAAGAAAAGATACAACCAGTTGCAGTTGGCCAGTAGGACGCAAAGAGAGTGTTTTCTCACATACAGGCTTTGGCCATTACTGTATAAGCTATAATCCTGGACTCCTATAAAGCCTGTATGCGTAAAATTTGAAAGCTTTGGTGCAAGTGATGCCCACTGCACAAATCTGACCTGGGGATGCTGAGAGGAATAGGCTGAAAGCAACACAGAGAACACAAACAAAAAATATGCCCGTTGAATAGCTTGAAAGATGCTATAATCAATAAAACTTCTTACACAAAGGCTTTAATGACAGTTTATCATGCAATAAGATATCTGAAACAAATACAGTAACTGCGTAAGATCATTTTCACAAGTTTCTTACATTACTAATAGATAAAATTATTAATCTATTATTATAATTCATTCATTATCTACTCTTACAAGGAAACACTGGGAGGTACTTACTGTATAACCAACACACACTGATTAGAAGAAATTAGTTCAAGAACAATAATATACTGTTAAATTGAGTATGAAGTGTGTAAAATCTGTCCTGTTTTTTTGTTATTTATAGAGCACTTTGTGAAATGATCTTCTCAAATGTGCATTGACAAAGTGATCAATGGGACACTGCATGGAGGACAGGAGGATCATTAGCGGCTGAATGAGATTGGATAACAGTGATTGTACCTTGGATAAGTGATAGCTGTGAGGATTGGATCTTCCGTCCCAGCCACCAATTCTGAGCAAAATGTCCAGCTGATATCTACAAGATACTGATAGGTTATCTGCTTGCTCGTCTCTGCTGTCAAGCCAGTCCATGTGATTGTTATTCAGCTCTGTATGCCCTTCACGGAGAGGTGTGACTCTTCTTTGTTCCGGATAACATCATTGTAAAATAGATCCTGAATGTTATTTTTCTTCTGGCATTCATGACCTTGATGCCATGTCTTTCTCTAACTCTTAAAGTTTGGAGCTATGTAGGCATGCATTAACAAAATACCAACAGAGACCAACGTTTAGTTTTTATTCCCTATTATCTATAATACAGGTTGCTTGTCTTTAACTAAGGGGAGCAAGATTTTGCATTTTACTTCAGTAATTAGTTTTCAGATTTAAAACTGAAAGGGGATGCATGATTGTGACACAGGAAAGAGACTGGTCAAAAGCAGGTGCCTTGGACTATGACAGACCCAGAAAGTGACACAGTGACTTTGCTTACAACGCTGAACTGTCACAAACTGGAGACACATCAAAATGAGAGCCTGCATGCATCCATGATGTGTTGCATGGAAAAGCAAGCAGGGCTTTCAGGGTGAAGCTTATGTACTGTACGTCTGGTACAACATGAAGTAACCACGAAAAAAGTGGAGGTACTTTTGTGTGTTCCATGTAAATACCCAATATCAACTGGTATGTTTTTTGTGTTTATTTTTTTATTTTTTTACAGTTTGGCATGTTATTAAATAAGTTGGCACACCAATTCAGTAATCTCATTATGGTTGATGCCGTATACTTTATAGTTTCTGGTTTCAGCAACTTGTGAAGATTAATGCGCACACACTAAAACTCAGTGGGTTAAAAGATGACCTAATCTGGGTCAATATAACAGGGGTTTACAACCCCTTTCACATTACATTCAGTAATTTGATTCAGTGGAAACATCCCAGTACACACACACACACACACACACACACACAACTGGAGTACTTCATCCTGTTTAATCTTGAACCCACTCACCCACTCCACCCTTATCTCCACGTCCATTCATCGTCCATTCATCCTCCCGTCCTGACATCCTTCGATCTCAACACTGCTCCATCTGGCCCTTAGACCTGCATTTGCCCTGCTGAATATGCATGGATACAAATGCAGTCAATGGCATCGATGTTGCAGTGTCAGCATTCCCCACAGTGGCTGACACAGTCAGAGCAGAAGCAGAGGAGTAGGAAGGGGCAGGTTGAGTCGTCCTGCATCGTTAACTTTCCACTGACAAGGTGCCAGCCTCATCTCCAGACACAGGAAGAGCAGAGGGGAAGACGAGAAAAGTAAAATTAGTTTACATTAGAGACAATAAAAAGAAAGGAGAGTGAACAAACTGGATTTTAAAGAATAAAAGATAGCAATTGCTGATTTTATTTCACTTTAGCTTTCACTGATCAAAGCTTTGAATTCAATCATATTAAAGCGAATGAGCTGTCAATTCACCCATCTACAAACATCTAATTCATCATAATTTTCTCCTTCCAGTGTAGGTTTGGCTTTATCCAAATCTAAACATACACATAATAAAAATAGAAAGACTGCACGGCCTTCACTGGGATTATGAAAACTTTGGAAGATTTGGATAGGGATACTCAACCCCATCAATAAAGTTTTGCTGATTTGTACTAGTACTAGCTTCAACAATGCCAGTTTCAGGAGGCTCTCTGATCCGTACCGTTGGAATCAGTGTGCGCAGCAGGAAGTTAATCAGAGGTCATTGTTTTTAACGATCTCTTGTCTCAGTAGTATATGGTGTATTGAGCTGTGTGATTTTAATTTTTCTGGCTTTAGATTATCACAAAAACAATACAGATTAATCCAAACAGGGAAAAAATCCAAAATGCAGAAAAGTCTGTTAGTTGAGGAATAATCCACAAAGCAAAGAACAGGCAGGAACACTCTGCAGAAGACGATGACACCACGAGGACTAAACAGAAATGAGGGCAATATATACAAACAAGCGGGCAGGGCAATTAACACAGGTGAGACACACAAGCAATCAAGCAGACAGGAAACAAAGCTAGACAAAAAAACACATGAAACTGATCACTACAAAATAAAACAGGAAGTAAAGCTAGCAACAATACACAAGTCCATGTGAAACCAAATACAATAGAGAACAAGGAGGCAATGATCAACTAACCAAAACAAAACAAAAACACAGAGGCAAAGAGTAAAACAGGAATGGACATAATCAAAATAACAGAAAAATACCACACAAAAACCCAAGAGCATGACAGCAATTATATTGCACAGACTGTGTGGCTATACATCCATTTAATCCAGGAAAAGTTCATTGCTATGTCGTCCTTTTTCTCAGCACCCGGCTTCACGTTCATGCAGTTATGCACATCAAGCTGCAGGCTGTTAACTACTGAGTGCTCTGCTTAGGGGCACATCAGTCATAGTCATTCAGGACAGGTACATTTTTTGTTATTCACTTCACCTCGCCTCTCACTCCAAACCAATGAAAGGATACAAGCAGGATTGTGTTCATGCTGTCTGAATCATTTCCACTGTATATCATGGTACAGTTGAGACTAAACAGCAAGGTAGAGCTGGACCAACACTAAGATCCAGCCCCGGAAACAAGAAAAGCTTGCCTTTCCTTTGCAGCCTGGATAGTGCTCTGCAGTTCACAAAAGAACCTGCAGTTCACGAGAAAAACGATTGAATTGGGGTGATTTTTATTTGGTTTGATACAATCAGGATTGTTCAGGATGGGTTTGGTGTGATTTACAACCAGCAACTAATTTCACAAAAGTTGCAAGTCCCATCAATAAGCTGTTCTTTTTTTTATTGTCAGGTGATGGACAGGTTGATTTCAACGAGTTCATGACGATTCTTGGACCAAAACTGCTGTCGTCTGAAACGAGAGAAGGCTTCCTGGGCAGCACAATAGATACCATCTTCTGGCAGGTAAGATTTTATTATCTTAAACACATCTGCTTTGTAAACTTTGGTGAGTGAGTCACGGATTGAACTGGCTATGAAGAAATGGGATGCTGTAGCTATTTGTTAAAAATAAGCACTGCTAAGTAGAGCGGGAAAGAATTATGATAATTATTTTCAGTCAAACCAAAATATTGAAAAGCTTTTATTAAATGAAAACTTTTGTTATATCCAGGTGTGGTTCAAATAAGCAGTCCTTGGTATGCTATACTAAGCGTAATTATGCACTCTGGGCTTACCAGGAGGTTCTCTTCTTGAGATAATAATTTTTCATGCATTTTAAGGCACAAAAACAACTTCACATGTTGTTTGTCTCATAAGCCTTCATAGGAAATAAAACACACATGGTTATCTAATTTAAATACATTTTGAGAACAGAAAAGTAGCTCTTATTACCATACCCAGAATAATGCACATGTGTGTATCTGCTACGCTGTTCTTAAATTCCATATTTATATATTTCCACATTTATTTATGTTGACGGTATGTTTGTCTACGTGTAGCAGCTTATCTCCACAGCAAATTCGTATAAAGCTCCTTCTGATTCTGATTCTCATATTCTCCATGTTCTTAATAAAGTTACGTGTGTCATTGATTAGCTATGGTCTTGCACAATCAACTCAGAGTGTAGAGGATTTTATGTTGCTGAAAAAGAATAGTTGTGCTCAGAAGAAGAAATATTCCTGGGTTCGGACTGAGGTATTCGGTCAAAGTGTGACAAGCCCAGAAAGTCTTCTCTCTTTTCTGTACTAATGCTATCTAATCTATTAATCGCGTTAAAGCAAATAGCCTCTGCTTTATTCAACTCAGTTTCCATTATTCACACTGTTTCTGTCCTCATTTGAAGGACAGTGCAAAACAATTGATTTTGTAACTGATGATTGCAATTAGGGCTACCCGAATATTCAAATATTTGAATATTTCATCATTTGGTAAACATTCGATTGTCAATTTTGGAATTCGATTGTTTAGGTGTTTTTTGCACGCCTGACCTCCACTGACAGCAGTGAATGCAATGCTCCAGTTCACATCAAACTAAAAGCAAAATGAAGCCCTCAGCTGTGTGGGAGCAGTTTAAACTGAGTGATGACAGCAGCTGTGTGGCAGTTATTGGGTTTATTAATTTTACAATTGCTTAATTTCCTTACAGATCAAAACAGTCAAATTTCCTACATTTTAAAATTAATCAGTAAACTGTAGGCTGGAAAGAAACAAACAACAACACACAGTGAACACATTTAAGTTATTATATAAAGGCTGATTGTAGAAGAAGAGCATTTAGTCGGTATACTGAAAGTTAAACATTTAGTTTCGATTAATTGCTCTTAATTACTATCAAAGCTTCAAAGCTCAAAAAATAACCAGCCCTAATTGCAATATGTGATCTTGACGGATGTACCTTTGGACATCCTAAAGGTTTTTGAGAATCTCAAGAGACTCAGAGTGACAAAGGAATCTGAAACTGACTGACTTTTAGTGAGACAGAGAGTGATGAATGTGCAGACAATAGAAAGAGTGAGAGAGCATGAATGGGAAGGATGACAAATCGAGCAGGTGTGAGGGTAAGAACGGGGCATTTGGCGCTGATAGTAACGCTTGGCAAGCCCATCCTTTTGATGTAATCATCGGTTTGACCTGGGCCTTTTCTCTGGGGCAGGAGCTTGTGGTTTATACAGCGAGGACACAAGTCTTTGCAGGTATGAGTGCAGGCTGGGCGATTGTGCTGCCAGCCCCATTTGGCTGCTGCAGTGACCTTGGCTTGTGCAGGAGAGCTGTTGGCCTGAAAAGTTATTTTTTTAACCCCCCCAGTTAAGGCTGGTGGTTGTGGTTTGTTACTTCTACAAGTACATAGCCACATTTCTTGTCTGATGAGTTCATGTCTAGAAGCTGGAATCAGCAAACACCTCATCTGATATGTGGAGCATATGCAGAGGAAAAAAATAACCCCAACCTTGATTTATCATGATTATTTCTTCACATGCCTCACAGATGATTAGTTGCTTGAGGTGTTCCTGTTTTATGCTCAGTTTTGTTTCTTAATGGAGTGTGACTTAGCCTATTTCTACCTATCCATTTTGTGTTCTGTCATCCTGCTTGAATAACTGTTGTAAAAGTTTTTTAAGTATCTCTAAGCTTTTGATTGGTGGAATAGATACAGCATTTTGGCTTTACATCCTTTTGGGAGGCTACCATACAACTGGCATGTCCTCTTAAAACTAGCTCCTCAGTCCTTTTTAAAAAACAGTCCAATAAATCTCAGTAGGACAGAACATGCAGTGTAATGTTTGCGTGACGATAGAAGAATGGAAATTATCTTAGCAATGCAAGTATACATGAAGGACAAATAACACTATCTGCTCAAAAGCCCACCCAACAGTTCAGCAAACACTGAATAAACCATCAACCAGGACAACTCATGCTGCTGCCTCGTTATGTCCCACTCATCAAAATTCAGAAAATACACTGGATTCCCAATCAACAAATCTTGCATGCCTATAGAAATGACTTTTCCTTTGTGCCACCTAACAACAGGATATATATAGAGAGAATATGTAATCAATATTTAACAGAATATACAGTGTTGCAGAAATGGATTTCCTTATCACCCCAAATAAAGTCTTAAGATACGAAGAGTCTAAGATAGGATTTTTTTTCAATTTGGTATTATAGAAGCAAATCCTAACTAACTTTAGAAATCCTTTAATATATTTTACTATCCTATTTTATCTCAGGTTTGGAAATCCTAAATACTCAATCCAACACCACTTATCAATTTTTATGTCTGTTACCTAGCAACTGATGCCACCAGGGGTGGACCGGGACAAAAATTCTGCCGCCCGCGATTCAGTTTTCAGCCGCAGGTGCATGGAGGAGGCTTGTTAATGAGGAAGCCTATCGAAACTGAAACTAACGTTGTACCCAGTTACATCTGCACCAGTGTGTTCAGTTATTTTATCTGGTCCATACATACAAATAAAATATCCACCATGTCTGCGTCTTATAACGTAATAGATAACATCTCTCTCAGTGTTTCTTTGCAAAATGCTTAAATGGGTCGCCAAATATACTTGAGCGGCCGTTAATGTACCTGAGCGGCCCGCCCAAGGAAAGTATATGTGTGTGAAATACTGATATTATTATCAATCTGACCTGCCTGACCCACAACAAACAGTCCAGCTCCTCTGGCATTTGCCAGAATTGCCGGAGGGCCAATCCGCCCCCGGATGCCACTTTTGTCATCTCATCTAGCTTTTAACTGTTGTTTTTTTGGTATATATTTTTTAATGAAATCACATTTAATGTAACATACACTGAAAAATGAAGCAAAAACAGCAACTATCAATGAACATCAAGACAGATGCCTTAGAGGTGTTGGTAACCTCCTTCAAGCGTTGAGGGCATTGATGCTATGAAAATGAAAATAAGTCTACTGAGAAGTGATACGAAGAGAAAGACAACTGTTGTGTCCAAAGAGCGAAGGAAAACCAATGGTGACTCCTCCCGTGCTCCCTTACTGACAGTGGCAGAAACCCGTATTGTGGTTCTTCTCTGGAAAGTTAATAATGAAGGTAAGCTAATAAAGGCTGTGGGCTAATGTCGTCATGTTTTTCATGTTTTTCTTGTCTTTATTGATCTTATCCTAACAAAGAGACTTTTGTTACATCAAGCCTTTACATTATTTTATATAATAAGACATTACCTAGCGTTACATCGCCTCTAGCCTTTCTACTGATGAGTGTTTTGTCTTCAAACACATCGGTAGGATCAATAAACAAGTTGAAATTTTGGTGATTTTGTAAAAGCAATAAAAGAGCAACCATGTAGATTAAACAAGTTAGCAAACACCATGATTACCAAACAGTTAAGACAGGATCTGCAGGTTAGGAAGTTTCAGTACTACGATCCAGATATCTAATGAATTGCTTTTATGTTTTGTTCTTTAAACCTGCACTATTCATTGACTGTGTATAATGTGAATGAGGCCGTAGCGATGAACCAACACTAAATCATCTTTTAACTCATTGTTTTGGTTTTATGGATATGTCTTGCAGCATTTATCAGCCCTTTTTTAGCAGGCAGCTGTAACAAAGAGTGGACATCAGATTAATACAGTAATTATGAGTTGGACAGAGGTTAAGGCAAATGAATGCTAATAGTGCTTTGTGTCTTCTGGATGTGTAGACAATTGTTTGCTAACATGTTAACAACCAGCTGATAATATGTCAGGTGGTGGGGTTGTCAGCGTGATTGGGAGTTTTTCTTTTCCCCAGTAGGCAAAAAGTTATTAATGCAGCTTAAATTTGTGGTAACAGCGAGAAGAAACTGGCACAGACAAGAGATCAACAATTATGGTTTTTGGACAGGGAATAAAATCTCAGACAGATTACAGCCACATGTTTTTATTTTTAAGTAGTTTTATGTTTTAAGTAATCACATAAATATATTTACAATCTAAACAAAGTGCATAAATTCACATTATTTCACAATGTCCCCAAATATTTCACAATGTGTGAACTGAAAACATACATGAAGTTGGACTTGCAGACTTACTGTACGTCATTGTCATCAAGTAAAATATTTGGGGTTTTTTCCTTGAATAATTTTTTAATTCTTTTCTGCAACATAAGACATTTAAGTAATTTTTGTGAAGATTGCTTTTTGGCATCACTGGGCTTTACGTGCAGGTAGATGTGTTGTACATTATTGACCTTGTGAAGTGAGGAACCCTGATAATTCAACTTGTCTGGAGAGAATATACAGTAGAGCTATGTCTGTTAGACATACAACAACATCAACATCCTGTTATATTTAATATAATGTATAATATATAATGCAATATTTCCTGGGCTAATACAGTAAATTAATTTAGCACATCTCATTCTAATGATATAGGAACCCAATAATCTCATCTTAATCACCCAGTCGACCACAGTAACTGTTGTTTTTACATTCATCACAGAAAGCCA